GGAAATAATCAATCATCGTTTCTGATCATGTACAAAGCATTTTATAATTTTAGAATCCACTTTTTTTTTTTTATCTATTTCCTGATGTGTTTGTTACAGAATCGGAAAAACCACGCGTATCCGAGAAAAAGGTAAGCAATTTTAAATATTATTTTTTAATGAAAAAGCTATGATATTTTATATTATTTCGTTAATATGAAATATATATATAATATATATAAAATAAAAGTATATTTTGATTTTTTGCAGGCAATGTTCTCACTAGGCATGATGATATTCAAAACGCTTGATTTCGGCCTAGATGAACAAGAAGAAAGGCCTTTATCACCGGATTTAGAAGCCCTTATAACATTAATGACAAGCGCCGATCAAGGTACAATTAATTTATAAAAAATAAAATTCAGTAAAAACATACACAGGAGTCATGTAAAATTAATTATCTTTCTTGTTGCACAGAAATTGAAGGAGAAACGGAAGAACGTCCGCAGGAAACAGACGACGAGGGTATTGAACGTGATTCCAGTGATGCCGATGTAGATGAATTTTCATCGCAAAAAAGTAACGATATGTATGAGGAAAGATCATCGGTGTATTCATTAAAAAATGTAATGCAAGTAAGTAAAATAAGCAAATATATTTTTTATTTACTTTATCACATATGCAAATAATACATATGATATGAAGATAATATAAACAAAAATTCGAAATTTGTATAATGAACTCTATGAAAATATATAAATAAATGTATATATAGTTATGTACCAGGCATATGCAAACTTCTATGGAATCTGCTGAAATTCATTATAAGGCTGTAATACGGGCTTTGGTAGCAGAGGCTTTGGAACTGTCGCACTTTTTGGATACAGTAGCGGCTGATAAAGTACATGCTAGTCAAAGGGAATCTGTTACTGATGTCAATAAGCAAACCTCGATGTCTGTTCAAAACCTTGATACGTTAGATTTTATTGATTGGGTAAGATTTCACAATGGATCAACCAAGAAAAATATATTATATGATTCATGTTGCGAGCTTATGTAAATGTAGCATTGTTTCTTGTTTTACGAAATTGAGATAGAGTGTTTCGAAATACGAATATTACGTGTTAAAATTTCACGTGAATTAAACGTGTTCACGTAGTCTGTAAAAATATTTTTGTTGTACTGTAATACAGAAACATCTTGTTAATAATATCTATGTATATCGTATATCAAGTTTGTTCGATATTTCTTGATATTTTCTTAATAAGAATGAGTAAATTTCAAAATATAATAAAATAATGAAATAGTCGCATTTGAATTGTGTTATAAAACCACGCATAAATACGTGCTATAACTCGCGTAAAATAGAACAGTTGACATTGCTGTGTCGCATAAAGTTATTTGTCACTTTGCAGAGATAAGATATTTGCGATTTATTGACTTGACTCTCTATCGTTATAGACTGACATTAGGATTTGGAGGGCTATACAAGTACGTGATTGTTAATAATACTTGCGCATGTGAAAGCGATATGTTAGAGCGATATGTTATGTACTTAATTATTGAGCATGTAGCATGATTAGTCTCACTATTATCAAGCATTGTTTTCTACATAGTTAGAACAATATTATCAGTCATTATACTTTAAATGCATGTGCTGATTTGATTTCAAATTTATCTATGCAAAATATTTCAAAAGTTAGTCAATTTTTATGTTTCTAGTCTATTTTACAAATTCAAGTATTTAATGGCTTTTTGAATACTCTGTGTTATATAAGTAGCATTGGTAACATATAATATATTTATAAGTAAAAACAACAAAAAGGTACTTAGTAAAATTTAGAAAAAATGTTCATCTAATATATATGTATGTTCTCTTTTTAAAGCTTCAATTGCATTTACGAGATCGGAAGAATTAAAATAACTATTTTAATAGGCAAGATTTTGGGTGCAAGTTATCCAGGAATTAAGGAAAGGTGTAAAGCTAAAAAAAGTGGAAGCTAATTTGGGTTCAAAGAATACTACACGTGGACGTGGAAAGGGAGCTGAGTTTGAATTAACTCCGTATGAAATTTTGATGGACGACATACGAAAAAGGAGGTATCGTTTGAGGAAGACACCATCCCCTACGCCACATTTGCGAAAAGACGCGCATGCTGTTATTCTTGAATTTATTCGGAGTAGACCGCCTTTAAAAAAGGTAACATGCTATTGAAAACGATGCTTTATTCAGACTTCATTAGATTCCTTCATGAGATTCCAATATAAGAATGGTAAAAATTGCAGTTTTTTAAAGTTTTACTAGATTTTAGAGACATAATTTTATACAGGCATCTGAAAGACAGCTACCACCCTTGCAAAAGGAATGGACTCTCCGAGAATTACTTATGGAAAGTATAAAGAAGCCGCCAAATTTAAGGTCGTCGCGCAATAGATACGTTCCTAAGACCGAAAGAATATCTCTTCAGAGTGGTAAGTTGTATTTCATATTTACATACACAACGATAACTTTGTGCATGTCATACTGCTTTATAAAATATATTTCCTCTGTTCGTGTACAATTATATAATAAATTCATGAAACCAACGCATTCAGTTCATATTTCGTACACCAATAATGGCGACATTACATATCAATCAATCGTACTGGTTATCGGTTTTTGTGGTACCTCAATAAATCTTCGCTGAACTATAAAATGAGCGAAAATTTCAAAATGTGTAGTGATATATTTCTTCTGCCTAGAATGACGATTAAAACTAAGAACCACAATACATATGTGAGCTATATTTTATTCTGTGTCTTCTTTCAATTTCTAAACAAAACTTTTAACTTCATTCCTCGTATAGAAAATAGATAATAGTATGTAGTGTTTGAAGTAAACAACTTTCGTATTCCTATAGAAGCATGCATAAAGAGAAGAGATATATGCTTATATATCGATCATAAGCAGAAACATTTTAACCGAGATGCATCAATACCGTTGCATCCGTATGCTTGGAATTTTATGGACCAACATGGTGTGCATACACAGCCACGCGTTGCACACGTGCGATTGCATTTTTATAGAAATATATTCAACCGAGAATACACATGCGCGAGGAGATGAGCGCGAGCGCAGTGCCCATACAGGGTCGCACATCTCTCAGCCTTAACATACTCTTGCGGGATAGGATTTGACAATTGCACCGCAGTGCGGCCAGGGCAGTGGTATCTGTGTCTTCATTTTTTTTCCAATAATAATAATCATAATAATAGCAAGAATAATGATAATCATTTAATGTTCGTATCCCAATTCTTGAGAGTAGAATTTGACAACTCGAACGCAGTGCGACCAGTACAGTGGTATCTGTGTCTTCACATTTTTCCAATAATAATAATAATACAAACAATAATGATAATCATTTAATGCTCGTATCCCAACGATATTTTGATATTTCGATATATGTATTATTAAATATTCTCTAAATTAAACACATTGGCTACTTTGCAATAAAGAGACCAGTGTAATGATTTTGGTCAACAGAATATTAGGAAGATAATAATTTTCGTGTTTAGTCATTGTCCGTTGGGGGTGGTACGAATCGTGACGAATATTTTTTATCGCGATAAAGAAGGGTCGATCTGTATGAATCATGATTGGCGACGGTAGGCCGGCTTAAAGCATCGCAAGCCCCAGACCGTTCGTGCGATCAATAACCGAAAGCGCACAAGAGGGCGAGAGCTGACGTCGCCCGAAACGTCATCGTACAACGCGACCGCTAAATCTTCGCTTGATTTCTCGCGTGTCGCTCGCTCGTACCGTTGGCCTCGCTTATTCGTTTCTTCGCTTCAACCGCGTTTCCTTGTTTCTCGTTCTGTCTCGTTCGCGCGTTTCCGGGGAAAAAGTAAAAGGTGCAGCTCGAGCGTGAAATTCAATCGGGTTGCGTCTAAACGTGTACGAGTAAGTCAAGTGCAAAGGAGGATAGGCACACTAACGAGCACGTGTGCTTGATGTACAGTCCCTACCAGTGGATCTGCAAGCATCACGGTGGGCCAAGGATTTGACAGGATGGATAAAACGAACAGATGAACAAGGAGAACAGCTTGGACGCTGGTAATCCAATATTTCTGATTGTTTATCGAACGAAGAGAAACAATGGATTTATGAGATCTTAACTGGAACGTTTCAAATTGATGAACGTCTTGATTCACAGGCTGTGAGATCGTCAAGTCGAGCCAAAAGATTGTAGAAGAATCAACAGAACTAGTAACTTCCGGTTGGACGTCGCGATCGTCGCAAGTAGAGCCATTGTAAAGAATTATGTTGACACGCAGTATGTTCGGTTTAAATGTGCACAGCCATTTTGTTACTAAACTGTTTAACATGCAAAACACGTTTAAAATCGTTAATAATTCTTCTGGAGTGAATACTTCGTTTAATTCTGCAATCCTTTTAATCCTGTACTGGGGAAAAATAAGTAAAGGTAGAAAAAAGTATAATTTTAACGATATAATCTCCACTTTAAACAAATTTAAACCTGCGTCTAAATAATCTTGGCCTTTCTATATTAAAAGACTATCAGAAAGTATAAATAAAAAGAAAGCATCAGCTGTTAGAAATAGTAGACAAAAACGAAGGAAAACATCGAGGAATGTAGTATTCCACTCTAATATTCTAGAATTCAAATCATGATACTTTGTTTGACGTGGGATTGTTTGGATCATTGTTTATGTTGAAACATTAAAACACTGATTGCCATACGTGAGACAGGCCAGAATGAGGAAGATTAAACCGGACATACTGTATATATTAGCAGAAGAAAAGAGTAAATATAGAAAAGGGGAATAATATTACCGATCGTAGGCGGTGAGTCCCGCATGATAGTCCTGGGTGAAGTTCCACCGTCGCAACCGGAGCAGGAACAGGAACCCGCGCAGGATGTGGCGGCACAGTGGTTGCAGGCAGAGAATCAGACGAATGCCGCGGTCACGACAACAGTTGGCTCGGTTACGACCAACGTACCGACTACCGCGAGTCGGAACAGAACGAACGTACCACCGGTTCCGCAGCCGAGGCAGAGAATCGGCAAGCCAGAAATTAGGGTTCCGGGAAACAGGAATCGTAAGTCGCGTAGAAGGCGCATTACGGTCGCAGGTAATCATACCATTCATCTTTTTTTCGGCCAGTAACATAACAACGGGTAATATATATAGAAATGTTTTTGGGCTGCAGACGATGAATTCATTTTAGCTATATTTCAATTGATGCAACAGCTACTTAAAACAAATTTCACGGATTGTTAGCCTGATTGCGTTTTGCATAATAACTTGCATAATATCATAATACTTGAAATGTAGCGATCAGAATTTATTACGAACATTGATCTGAGTTTTATTGAATTATAGGAGCATTAGTTATTTCTGATACTGAAAGATCTAAGATATTTTTCTCTTTTATAAATATTTCTATGTAATTTTAATGAGTGTATTTATAATCTTATGCGTCCGCGCAGGAGGCAATTATGTATGTATTTAGGATTTACTGAGGTACCACAACTTTGTGAATATTTAACCATATTTTTTTTGTACAATTTTACGGTCACGTGTCATGTTCATTAGTCATCAACATACACGCAACTATTCTTCCGATAACAATGATTGATGTATATTTTGGGATCCATCTCTATGAACGACGTTTTTTAGATCAAATCCAAAGTACCGCTGATATCAAGGATAGTGAATCACCTACAGTACCGAAACCTCCTCGAAGGGATTTGGACAACACGAATTCTACGACAAATAAAAGAAAAGTAATACCTGTAGATTTTGATTTAAAGGTAGATTATAATTCTTCATTTCTTGTATCTTCGTTTCGAATTCTTTTTACTTAAGTTAGTATATATTTTGAAAATAGCTCGATGCGGAAGACGAAGATGATGACGAAGATTACAACGATGAATTGGCAGTAACAAGATTTGAAGAAGAGGATGAAGGATCAAATTACTGGCAACTAAAAGAAGATTACACATTTGTAGATAGGGGTAATGCTCGCAGTAGGCATAAAGATCAAAGGGATGACGACGAAGCTAGTTCTGCTAATCCTTGGCGAAAAACTGGTGGTTTACGTTTGACGAGGAATGAATATCATCGATTTTGTGATGCGCAACTTGAATGTAATTATCGTAATTATTATGTGTTTTAATTCATAATGAATGAAACCGGATATTGGAAAATATATATATTCAAAAATAATTACTTTTAGCATATGATCTCGCAACACAGTGTCCATCTAGAAGAGCGTCGGCTCGAAAACACGCAGCAAGACGTAGTATAGCACTTACAGCGTTAACTGGTACCACGTCTCTTCCTCACTCAAGGCCACAGAGTCGTACTCAATGTACAGGTACAACAGAATCATCGTTAAGTCAAGGTCCGAGTCCCAATATCAGCGTAAACCCTAGTCCGAGTTTGAGTCCTCAGCCGAGAGCAAGACAACCACGACGATCGCAAACCATTGTCGAAGGTACAAAGGATAGAGAAGATCAAAATGAAGACTGGCAAGATGATAAAGGACAGGTATTATGTTACAGAAATCAGTCTACTATTGGAACAATATATTTCAAGAATAGAGAAACCGTCGTTTATATAAAATACATTTTAGAAATTTTACTGAACGTAAATTGTTTAATAACAAATACATTTTTTTTTTGTAGAAGCCTACATTGGGTGACATGTTCCTGGATGAAAGACTTTCTTTAACCCTAGAAGAGATTGTGCATATTCGTAGTGTATTAACTAAAGCAGAACTGGAATCTCTGCCCGTAGAAGGTCGCGTAAAGGAAGATGTAGAAAAGAGGCGCGTTTGTTTCCTTTGCCTAAAAACTAGGTTCGGACTGTTAGGACCATGGGGGCAACGTTGTCGCTTATGTGAGAGGACAGTATGTGTAAAATGTTATTCCAAAGTAAGTTACCGAGATTTTTGTTAATTTAGCCTTAATTAATAAATTTCGATTAAAATATTACTCTTGTTATAGATGCGAATTCCAACAGAACATTTCGCTCACGTTCCGGTAGTTTTATTATCCCCTGGTCTTCTTCTTTCTCCATCATCTTCAGAGCCAGATACTAGCAAAAGTTCATGGCTAAGAGGCACTGGCGCAGCTGGATCTGCACCGGCATCACCGGCTTCTAGACGCAAGGATTCATCATTGAAAAGTGTGACACCTTCATCTACGCCTACTACTACACCTGTTTTGATACTTACACCGACTTCCACACCGCCTTCCCATGCTCGTCGCGAAACAGAGAATCAAGATAAAAGGTTTACTTTTTACTTGCGGTTTTTACTTTAAAAATGTTTGCTCTTTATGTTAACATTAGAGATACCTATTTTTTTATAATTTGCTATTTTCCATAACAAAATTTGATCATACAGGAGTTATAAAAGCACTGGCAGTCCAGCCAATGTGCCATCACTGAAGGCATTCTCCAGTTTCACTAGTCAAAGCTCGGAACAACGATTGGCCGCGGAAAGATTGAGAGGCGTCTCTATGGTAGTCTGTCATGACTGCCGCATTATGGTGATACAGATAATTAAGAGTTCAAGAACAACACGAGCTACGATACGTAACAATGTCATTTCGCGACTTACTTTGAACCTTTCGCCAGCCTATGTTTGAATTTTCTCTGAAAAAACGAAGTTCCATGCACGAGATTTCTGTTGGATACAATGGCGCATCTCATTTTCTATTTAACTAATGCGTAACATGCTATTTATGCCAATAAGTGAGGCACGTAGATTAGATTTCTTCTTCTTGTACCGGTGTCTTCTTGTGCTCCTTATGCCATTAATCTCCTATGAATAGTCATGGATATCTCTAAAAAAGCGAGCCCATCAGATGCTACATATTGTGATTGCATTACACGAGATTGAGTACTCAGTACTGTATTGGTTCTAAAATTTATCATTTGATAGTGATGGAATTATTCTATTATTGTCATGTAACTTTGTTTCGAGAAATGAAGTTCTTTCTAAATAAGTTTGTTCACTTTTTTATGTAGGAACATATTAAACAAAGTAAGTGATTATTTATACAAACTGATTACAAATTTTGTTTAGAGTCTACAAAGTACGATTTTTTTAATTAAAGTATACAAAGGAAATTAAATCTATGATATATTTGAGCATGAATGGTGGAATTTAAAGGATGAGTCTAGTACGAAATCGGCACAGAGTGGCATTTAATATAGTCTACGTACCTACATTCAGGCTTACATCTAAGTAGATCGTTAATGCATGCAAATTTGAAAATGATATGATTAGAGTCAAGTATTTAATTACGACGGCTAAGGTTCCGTTTGGTTTTCAATAACGGTGAACTATTTTTCGCTTCCCATTTCAATAATTACTAATAATAATAACTGTATTAATAAAAAAAGATAACAAGCTATTGTGCGATTGCATTGCGCATTATGTGCGTTCTCAGTTCATAAAAACTGAGAATCCATGTTTAACCCGATCAGTTATCTCGGGATTTTGAGAATGTGTACATATATGTTCCTTTTGCTCCCACATTGTTGTGAACATTAAATCTAAAAATAATATCACATTTACCGTAAAATTTAGTTGAGAGAAAGAAAATTATCATAAGCGAAAATCAGCGAAGAAAAAGTAAAAATGTTGAGATATTAAATGTAATCTACGTATATGTGCCAGAAACATTGTTTCACGCAATAGTGATCGAATTATAATTAATTCTGATCTATCAAGCTGTGCGATAGTTTCGATTATGCGGCTACTAATTCGAATCATTGAAAAATTCTAATTTTCTTCATTATTCGATTCGCTAATGTATTCATGTAACAAATAGTTCTTGCGCGATTATAGATTTTATATTTCGTATATTGATGATGATTGTGTTTGAAATTCCAAGTGTCTTTACTTTTGTCAGTAATTTTTGTTAATAATCTAATTAAGGCGAGAGGTACGCATACATAAGCACACACATATTATAAACTAGCGAGAGAATCAAATACTCTGACAACCCCGAAGGAAAAGAATGTTATTTTTTTGCGTCCGCGTGACATTAGTTTATTTTAAGAGAATATATTTAATTCGTAGAGTGAGTCAAAGTCGGAGCACAATTGTACTATAAATCCGTTTTAATGGAATTCATTAATTTAAATTCTTTTGTATGATGTTTGTGATATTAATTTATTGCTTTCTATGTCTACTATTTATTATATTTATTTAATTCTGCGAATTAATTAATAGCTGTGTTCCTTTATAATTGTATATATAATTATACACCTATATGTTATATATTTCATATGAACATGCTGTGCAATTTTCATATTTTGTTGCATATTATTATTCATTGAAATATTTTTTTATTTATATTATTTATATTTATATTATTATTGGTATCAAAACTATGAAGTTTATATTTTCGTTTGCGTTTTAATCTCACGTAAATTAATTATATTGCGACACAAGTTAATAAGCGGAGAAGAGGAAATGAATTTAAAAAATAAAAGAAGAAAATAGTGGCTCTTGTTACGGCCACGTTTATAGAAAATTAGTACAATTAAGTGGCTGTTCGCTTGCACTGGTTAAAGGTGTGCTATTAACGAGGAAATGTACAAATGTAAACCTATGATGGTTCAGAGTACAAACAAAGAATGCGAATTGCACTATGACGATTAAAATGCTGGTATAACGTCTGGCACCGGGTTATATACATAAAAACAGCGTGGTTATAAATTTATTCATACGTGTAAAGTGCATTGGTGGATTTTACAAACGGGTGAATTAGTTTGATTGAGGATGAAGTTTATTTATTTTTTTAATCACACAAGTACTTAGATTTCCCAATAATTTCCAAGCAAAAATCAAAATAAATATAGTTCGTATAGTACTTCAAGAAAAGCAATGTACAATAAACAGATTTTTTCGAAAACCATGTAAAAAAACACCACGACACTTTATGAACAATACGAACATAAAATTCTATTTGTAGAAAATTATTACAATAAAACTAAGCTGAGAAAAACTGCTAAATAACAGAGTCACAATGGTATGACATTATAAGACATAAACGACTTACGTGATGGCAATTGAAAAAGATCGTTTATTATATTAATTTATTGTTTTTTATGTACGATGTATATGTATACCTATAAATAATTAGAAATCTTGTTTTTATGATGAAAGCGACCAAAATACATTCTATTCCGATTCATTACTTAAACCGTTATCTTTCTGAACAAAAGCATTTCTCTTATTTTCTACTTTTATACCAACAATAAGAAATTTTTATTTACATAAATTATATATTACTGAAATATTTTTCATATATAACGACACACCTTGTAAAAAATATAATTTCTTTTAAATATTTTTTATTCGTATCATATATTAATTAATACTAAAATGTAAAATTTTTTAGTTAAAATGATATTTAAAAAATATAACGGAAATTATTGTATAGATGCTAATTCGTATAATAATATTAATATTTTGGCATTAATTCCTCAAATGATTAAGGTCCCTAAATATTTGAATTAATTATTTAGAATTTTTTCACACAAAAATTTTCGTTTGGAAATAAACAAAAGTTGGAA